GGGGGGTGGGGTACGTAGCGGAAGGGAGATTGGCTGGTGGTGGCAGCAAGAGGAGTGCGCTCCTCTCTCGTCTTGCGAATTGTAGAAAGGGGGTGCAATGTGTACGTGCGAGGTGGATGCCTCCTTGAACTCCAGAAGACGGCAAACGACTATCTTGGCGGCAAAGGTGCGCCCTTTTCTCTCCCGCCTGCGGCTCCCTCATAGGGGGGAATGACCTCCCCTCTACCACTCTTCAGCTCTGAAAACGACACATAGGGGGGAATGACCTCCCCTCTACCACTCTTCAGAGGTGAAAACGACACATAGGAGAGAATGGTGGGTCTTATGTTTCAACCTCCTTTCTGAAGATAATAATATTCTCCATTTACAATATAATAATAACACATTTGGGGAGAGTAGTGCAGCGAGGGTAATTGTGATACTCATCTCCTGGTCTATCGAGTTGTGGAAAACCATACCTAGGGCCTCGCTGCACCACTCTTAAAAAAATGTGAAAAAGAGAAAAATGTGGCGGGTGCACCTGGCCATGTTCTAGCGGGCAGTTCATTCCCATTTTGCAGATTTCGAGAGTGGTGCGGCGAGGCCCCCCCTTGTTTGGTGCTCGCCCGGCTGGAGCTTGCTGATTCTTCGAGGAAAGAAAAAGGAAGAGTCGAGGTAACTTCACCTAAATCGGGGACATTTAGTCTCAATGGTTCAGCCTGACGTGCATCCATGCTTTTCAGGTGGCTGACGTGAAACTCACACCAGGATTTTCTTGACTCAATGGTTCAGCCTGACGGCGCATTTGCCGGCAGATACGTTCTGTGAAGTCCTATGGTGAGCTGCTGCTATTTAGTGAATGAGAGGAAGGCTACCTTTTTCCCCCGAATACAACGTACGGTCATTATAGCTGTATTTGGGCTGCCTTTCAGACTAAATACAGCTATAATGACCGTACGTTGTATTCGGGGGAAGAAGGTAGGTGTATGTGAAGGAGAGCTGCGACTATTGACGTTTGACCTGTGACTGGGTGAAGTTCTGGAAGTGGGTGGAACGGTGAGGATGGGATCCCGACTAACTACGAAAGTTCAGCAAGTGGAAAAAACGTTGATGATCGTATCCTGACTAATCTCGTAAGCACAGGAAGTGGATAAGATGGTGATGACATCCCGACTTCTACGGCTGGGTCATCTCTCTCTCTCTCTCTTTCTCTCTTTCTCTCTCTTTCTCTCTCTTTCTCTCTCTTTCTCTCTTTTTCTCTCTCTTTCTCTCTCTTTCTGTCTTGTTTAGAAGACGCTCTGCTGTAATCTTCATGCGGGAGAGCGGCTTCGTCACTTTCGCAGTTGCGCTTCCCTTTGTATCTTGTGTTGTTTGCAGAATTCCTGCATCATGTCAGGGGTGTCGGATCAACCCGCGATTTTTCCACTCAGCCTGAAAAAAAAAAAGAGATTACTTTAAGGCTCCAGACTTTGCCAGAACTTGAGTGGCGGGTACGGACCTGGAATTCCAGGTCCCAGGTCGACCTGAGATCCCGACCTGGGATCCCGACCTGGGATCCCGACCTGGGTGTGTTCCGGGATGTAAGGGTATTACGTCGCGGCTACTCGGTTTCTGATAGCTCTTTGTCGTCCGCGATGCGTTGCGCGGCTCGGTACCCGCCACGCTAGCTCTCCCTGCAGATGCGTTTTGCCCCTCCCTTAATGGGCAGGAAGAGGAGGTAAATTTCCCACCTGGGTGCCTGAGCAGCACAGAGAGGAGGGATGTTCCCTCTTACTCCTCCTCTCTCCTCTATCCTGGGTGCCTCAGCAGCACAGAAAGCGAGGTAACCGTAGCCTTCCAGCTCTCCCCTTGTTGCCCCCCTCTCCCCCAAAGTTGTGCGACAAATGCTTGGACCTCAGATACGGGCGACTGCTATGTGTCGTTCTATTCATGGGAAAAGGGAGGGGAGGACTTGCGCGTTTGGACGTGGGCGACGAGGGTTGAGGAAGAACGGTGTGGGGGAGCGGCAGTGCAGGGGAGATAGGGGTGGACATACATGTGTACCACGTGCGTCTGGTTTGTGTGCGGGTATGGGGGGTGTCTGTCCGCGCGCGCGCCTGTGTGTGTGTGTGAGACAAGATAGATAGATAGATAGATAGAGAGATAGATAGATAGATAGATAGATAGATAGAGAGAGAGAGAGAGAGAGAGAGAGAGAGAGAGAGAGAGAGAGAGAGAGAGAGAGAGAGAGGTTTAGTTGCAAGGTGAATAGTAGTCATAGTGTAGAGGGCAAATCTGGCGAGGAGGCGGTGCGAGCAATCGCTGACGACCTAATGGTCTATGCTTTGCGAGCAATCAAAGGAATGTGTTTTTTTTTTTTTTTTTTTTTTTTTTTTGGATTCCAACTCAGGTGTGAATTTCAACAGTTCAGGGGTGTACCAACTGAGCGAGGCCATCTGGTGAATGTTTCTTTTTTTTAAACCACCAGTACTTGGCCCAGCTATCGGCCGCAGAAAAAAATAGAGTAGAAACGTTTCTAGTCGGATGAATGTGGGCGCTCCTGTAGTAGCCGGTACGTTTCCTAAAATCGTGGCGCGTTAACGGGCACGACTCGAGGGAGTACTGGTGGTTTAATATGCGTTAAGTAGAAAACTCATTCCAAATAATTCTTAAATAATTCCCAAATATTCTGCAAGTCGCGGGGCACTAAAAATTCCGTCCATTCTTAAGAAATTAAAAAATTGTTCATTCTGGAAAAAAAATCCATTTATTTCTTATTTATCGTCCGTGAATTAAGGTGACACTTCAGAGGCACGGATCAGGGCGATGATGGCCTTGTACTTCTGTAGCGCTTGGTGACGCGCTTTTCCTTTTTTTTTCCTTTTTCTTTTTTTCTTTGGCGCGCTATCTTCGAGGAAGCAATGGTCGGTAAGCGATAAGAAACTTGTAGGAGTTTACTTTTGTTTTTGTTTTTAAGAACAATAACTCAGAAATAGAACAGTGACAGGCAGAGGAGGGTATTCGTGAAAATCGACCGTATGAGTTTTAGCTTTTTTCCACGCTTCGCCGCCATTATTTTTTTTTTTTTTTTTTTTGAACTCCCCTTTTTTGGTGAATATATTATCATAGAACCTAACAAATTCAGCTGATCATTTTTTTTCTCTTTTTAAAATTTTATTTACTTCATTTAGGGGCCACTGATTTATGCGGTATTTTAATTTTCCATTTTTTTCCCCTTTACCAATTCAGCAATGTTTGAGCAGCGACAGAGGCAGCCGATATTCCTCTTATTTGCGCTAGCGGATTTAGATGGCAGGGCACTTTTCTTCCTTTTGTTTTCTTTTGACTTTGTTTTTTCAGATGCAGGGAATTTACTCCCCGAAGGGTCGGTACACGTGTGCCCTTAATGGCGATGCGATCTTTTGGCGGGAAATTTAATCCCTACAGTCTTCACCGGAATACAACGTACGGTCATTATCACTGTATCTAGACGCAAAGTTACCCCAAATACAGCTATAATGACGGTACGTTGTATTCGGGTGAAGACTGTAGTCGTGCGGTCGTTTTTTTTTCCCAGCGAATTTTAGAGCGGGTATGAATTATCACAAAATTACAATAGGAAAAAAAAAAGGAATGGTTAGGATGTTTACGATGACCTATTTTGACGACGGCCCCCCCCCCCCCCCCCCCCCCCCCCCCCCCCCCCCCCCCCCCCCCCCCCCCCCCC